TGATCAGGGTGTATCACGCGATGGGAGCGGCACGCGCTCGGCACTCCCACGGCACGCGCGAGGGTTAAACCGCCCCACGACTAAAGTAGCAACCTTAATGAGAACTAGCTTTTTATATTAAGAAATAGATACATTTTTTTTTATTAATATCAATGCTTTATTTATTTATTTTATAAATCCACGTAATATACAGGTAAGAGTATTTTTTTTAATGATAATGGAATGGTGCACCGTCTGCGTTTTATACTGGATATACCAGTGGGGGATGACAAAATGAGCATGACGTCAAGTCAATTAGCCCATCTTGATTGATGATTTCCAAGGAAAACCGTGCGGAGGTCGACCTGACATGGTACATTACTAGTAATGGGGTTATTAGTCCACATTACTAACAATCCCTCCCCTTCCTCCCCCCAAAAGGTAATATTTAAAACGGAAACCAAACGATGAAGATTTTTGAAGTATTACAGTCTTAGAAGAGTTGAAGAATAATATAAAATTATTGAACAATTAAGAAAAAGTGGGACGAAACCTTTATAAATTATTTAATCGGCATATCCGTTCTCACTAATTTCACACTAAAATATTGAAAGCTTGTAAAATAAGTTTACAACATTTTCGAGAACAAAGTGCTTTTGTACAAAAGGTTTTTTGCTTTAGTTTCCTATAATTTACGTAGCCATAAAAACACCTTGCGGAATGTCATCATTTTAATGTTTCTTAAGGTGTTTATGTGGCCGTTTTTTTTTTATTTAGGGATCCATAACATTTATTTTATAGAAATAATAACGTTTTGTTTACGGTACTAACTTTATTTGAACAGAAAGTATGTAAATAATATTTGTAATTTCGAGTATTTTATACTTGATATTCTTATAATAAATAATAATTGACCAATAATAGGAAAATAAATATTCAAACTTATTATATAACAAACAAAAATTAAAAATAAAAACTTTTTTACGACTATAAAGATAAAATTATATAACTAGTCTATGTTTTAATTCTGGTAGTTTTTTTTAATCTGTACATCTTTATTGCTATGGGTATGAGTACACTAAAGTCCTCCAATTCCACATACATATAGTATATAATAAATTAAAATATACTGAACCCCTAAGCTACATAAGAATCTTTACTTAATTTTTTTGCCCATACTTTTATCTGCGACAGAAGGGATCGAATACCTGTCCACCTAAAACAATATTCTGCCAATTGCACTGCAAGGTGCTTTTGATACAAAATCACGGTGTACAAAGAACATTACGTGAGTAGACAATGCATGGTTGGAAACAAGGGACTCATAAATTTCTGAGGTAGCCACATAGACACGTTTTGATGTCCAGTGGTCATAAAGTATTATTATAGACACTGAAGTGTAAACTGCCGGACAATACATTCTTTACTAACATTAAAAAAAATACGGACTATTTACTGACCACTTACTCAATGCTGTAAATTGTAATATATTGAAGAAGTATTAATATATTTAACTTTATTTATCAATAATGGTAATTATGCAGTTGTCTCATTTGACCATTTAATTATACATACTAATATAAATGTGGAAGTAACTCTGTCTGTCTGTTTCGCTTTCATGCCAAAGCTACTAAACCAATTTAAATTATATTTGGTATACAGATAGCCTAGACCCCGACAAAGGCATAAGCTACTTCTTAATGCGAAAAAAAAGAGTTGAAAGGAGAGATGAAAGGTTGTATGAAACTATCGTCATTTTTAAAGTTAGATGCATGAAACTTATTTTTTAGACCTTTTATAAAATATATATAAACATGGCAATCAAAGTATTTATAAAAATTCTCCATTTCTGAAGCTTGAAGAATAAAACATTTTCTTTGGTTTTCTGGGTTACATTATTATGTCTTTATTTGGCTAAGGTCACTATCCACAAGGGCGAAGTCGCGGGCATAGCTAGTATTAAAAAACTTTAAATCTGATTAAATTGGTATACTGTAGATACTTTAATTTTTATTTCATTTATGGTAAGAGTCATAACAGTACCTAAATACGAATATGCTTACAAGGAAATAATTACTGACTTTTACCGTTTCATTTCGCAAAGAAATCGAGTTGCGTAAAGCTTTTACTGTTCGTAAACTTCGTCATTATGTTATTCGATCCAATTTATCAAGTCACGTTGGTTTTAAATGGCCGAACCAAATAACTCAAAATGAAGCAATTCGCTACCTGAGTTCTTTACTCCCGCCTCCAAGGTGACTCGTGACTTTTTACCCACTTTTTTATGACCACTGCTTTATTATTACGATTCAGACCTTCATGTTAAGACGAATGACCGTCTTCGATAGTTGGGTATTGTATGCCTAGTATTCTTATTTCATGAGATAAAAATGACTGAAATAAACAGGTACATAACATACGAGTATATGCTACTCTCAAGACGAATTAGGGAACTACAAAACGTCAATCAAAAATGAACCAACATAATTTTAGCAAGTATGTCTATAAATTAAGTTAATCTTTATGATAATAAATATAATTCCGAAAGTAAATTTTTATTTTGCCATTCGAGGAAATCAACGTGACAAAGCTATCCATACTTCCACACTGATATCATAAAAGCAAACTTCGACACTAATATATATATACGCAAAAGTTAACTTTTTCATTAAACGGCTGAACGGACTTTAATGAAATTTGATTGGATTTGAGATAGATAGATACTAGAAGACAAAGATATACCTTTATCTTTTTTAAAAATTTAAAAAAAGCAAGCAGAGTTACTTGTGGGTACTGTACAATGTATTCAGGTTTTTTATCTTCTTATTTTTTTTAAATAAAACAAAATGGTAATTATCTGCCAATATCAGACAGAAAAGACTCCGTTAAGTCTATGTATTAACATTTTTCGGTGGTATTGAACAGAATATTGAGTTCGCTGTAAAGTAGGATAACACATGTTAATTATATATATAATTAACATTATTATATAATAAGGATATATAGTTTTTTACATACACAAATAAAAATGTATATGTTAATATTAGCAAGGGCACAATAATGATAAATGGAGATGGGATGAAGATAGAGTTTTATATTATTACACTATTTTGCTGTAGATCAATAGTAACTGTCAATATGGGGATTGTTATTCACTTATAACAATAATTATAATTGATAACATTAATTACAATAGAATATAATATACGATAAATACAAAGATATATCTTTAAATTTATCATAATTAATCTTTTAATTTTATTTACTTCCGTAACATGTGTACAAATTATTTAATAGTAGGTATATAGTTTTTTAATTATTATATTATATTTTTTAATTTTGGATTCTTAGTTATACAATTAAGTTATCTAAATAAAATAAGATTCAATATAATACCTACATGTTGGTAGATATATTTTATTATATCTGAATGTCTAATACCTATAACATAAAAACACAAGAGGATAATTAAAATTTTGATTACAATATATTACACTAAATATGCTTTTGTCATATGTATTTTAAATACTTATACTATAATAAATTCATGTAGCTCTTGTTTTAATTGAATATGAATAGTTGTAGTTGACAGTTCCTTTAAAATTAGCATACTTTCCGATTTCTCACACAATAGTGTAAAAATAAATTATATTTATTTTAAAAGTTTTTATATTTATACAATTAAAGGTAAAAGAATTTTTTCAGGTGCGGCGACGCAGCCTCCGAGACCTGTCGCCGTGGGACCGCCACAAGTGGATGCCGTCACGTACGTCCATTGTTCACGGTCACCATCACCCCCCGTACCCCTCACCCACGCCCCTATTTAATAAAGATTAGGTTATAGTGGTCAATAAATTTGTAAAAGATTAAAACTTTATTTAGGAAGAGATTACAACGTAGTTATGTAATAATTAATGTCTACTATTCAAAAATCTTCAAAGGTTGCATAAAGTAGTACAAACTGTACCTATTAATTGAGGTATGTATCACCAACACAAGCCATCAGAACAAACCATCTTTATAATACTGATGATATTGAGATAACCTGGTCAGGGTTATTTTCTAAGTATAAATAAGTAATATTATCCGTAGGTAATAAAGAAGTGAAGGCACAATCTTAATAAAATCATATACTCAGTTATCTACAATGGATTACACATATTATATTTGGCGATTTGTCTCTTTCTATTTTATTAAATTTTATTTATTTGTTCCTTTGTGTCTCGTCGTTTCATGAAATATGTGACGAAAATTTCATAGTACCTGCTACTACACATATAAATTGTAAACATATTATCAATGAGACAACAAAAAAGCAGTGTCTAAACATGTAGTTCAGTATAGGTGGAAATAGTAAGAATGACTGGAAGTTGAAAATAACATATAGGTATTGTTATTTCTCAAAGTAATTTATTGTTAAGTAGATTTGACTTAATAATATATTTTATCACCTTACAGAGTGTTTATAACTAATACACGAGAACGAATTCGCGAGTTCGTTTAACAATAAAAGTATATAAATCTATTGTAAAACCTTACGATCCTTAAAATTGAAATCGCTTAAATATTTCGCTAATGCTTAATAAAGTAAGTAACAGAAATTAATCAGTAATTTCAATTTATTATTGTTCTAATTGTATTAGGAAAACCTAGGGCTATACTGGAAACATAAAACAACAGACTGTAAAAGGAACTCCTTAAGTCAACTCCATTTTTAGTCTACATCAAAGTTTCACATATTTATCTGTAATCGGCAAATATAGTCTATAGTTTTGTAAGCCCTTTTAACATAATAGTAAACTGGTTAATATCACAGAACCAGAAATAAACAACAGTACAGACAGGACAAAGTGCATGTCACGAGCGCAACGGCCTTAGTCAGGGCCGCCCAGCGCAGGCAGACGAGGCGCCCGCAGCCATGGGAAAAATCAGGCTTACGCGCCCCCGCCCCGCGCCCCCATTGGCCCACCCGGACCCGCCCCGCGCCCCACCATACACCATAAATACAACGACAGTACCGACGACTCGTCATTCCTCTCTCGCGCTCCGCACGTTATACACGTGTCGCTCGCAAACCCCATCCCAGTGTACGTGTTTAGTGACTCTCACGATGAAAGCAATAACGGCAGTGTGTGCGACCGGCGCCTCGGTGCCCGCAATCGCCAGCGGTCGTATCCAGCGCCATAGGGAAGGCGAAAACGCTGAGATCCAGATGTATCTCTCGAAACTACAGGACTTGGTGCCTTTTATGCCGAAGAACAGAAAAATCTCAAAATTGGAAGTGATTCAGCATGTCATCGATTATATATGCGACCTCCAGTCCGCCTTGGAAAATCATCCTGCAGTTGGACAATTTGATGCAGAAGGAGCTCTTGCGTCGCCACCTTGCGCTGTGGCGCCGCAGTCGCGCCCTCACAGACGCCCTCTTGGACCTCGGTCGGCGCCTAACACTATCCTTCGCAGATCGACCTCCAGCCAAGAACACAGAAATCAAACGGTGAGTCTAATAATTAATATTTACAATGTATACGGTATACTACCTATAATTTCTAAATGTAAAATTGCCTTACAATAGTTTCTTGTGACTAACTTTGTAATATTAGGCTGTAAAGATGGTATATATACACTATTTCATTATAAATAAGTATATTATTAGCAATCTCCAAATAAATTTATAAATCCTAAATGGAGCTTCCAGTTGAGGTGTAAAACATTTTTCTATTGTCGTCAGTAAAACGACGTTAGCCAACAGCGCAGTATTAGAGTTCGTGTTTATAGCACAGTAGAGATACGTATTGCATAAAAAATAAATGAAATCGGTCGTGTCGGTGTTTTTGCGGCGCGCACCTGCACGTTTCGCAAGCGCGGGAAGGTAAAAGCGGAGATGCTGAGTTTCACAACACGTGGCGTCACACGCATAACTTGTAAACAATTGTTTATGCAATTAACTAACGCCAAGATGCGATTGGCAATTAACGATGGACACACTTGACGCAATTCTCGGGAACAATTAATATTGGATGCATAATGCTTGCTGTTATTTTAGCTCAGATGGCTTTGTGTGGAAAGAATAACAATAAACAATCGCCTTTTATTCACGATCATTGACTCCGCTTGACAAGTTCTCTGAACAAGTACAATAATTCAATAATAATAAATTATAGATATTTATTCGCACTCAACCCATTCATTCATTTCCATTCTTATATCTTACAACTTGTTGAATATGATAAAAATTGCACTATCATAATTAACACGTATACGGCGAAAACCAAAACTTTGTTCACGCATGCGTGACGACTGTTTTGAATTTCAGCCTTGAAGTGCGGCCACCTGCGCCGGCGCCGCGTAAACGACCGTGTACTGACATACAATCTGAATATTCAACATGTATTTATGCTGCCTCGTTTAACATTCCACTTGACACCTGCGCGTGATTGCCGTTCCGTCGCTGACATGCCAGAACCAACTAGTTTCACTGAGACCAAAGAGAAATTCAATACCGCAAAAGACCTAAATGCAGCGACCAGATTGTGTTGTCGATGTCTGAGCGCGGCAGGTGCATCTCGAAGGATTTATTCGTGCGCCTTGCGATTACGAGCCGCAGGCGCAATGCGCGCTCGTTAATACTTGGTCGCGCCACGTAAATTTTAATCACTGCCAGTTGTTGGAACAGAGGAAAATGTTCAAAACAAGCGTGATTTAGGAGACGTAAGGTGCCTCGCTGAATTTACAACAGCCGAGTGCTATATAAACGACATACATTCATAATGAGTTTATCACTAATCCTGCCCAAGTGCACGAATTCACTATTGCATTATTTGTACTTACAAAAGATCTTGAGTCATAATCAAATTACATAAATAGCCTCTTGTAATGTATTCATATAGTTCATAGTAATAACGAGTTATTTTAAGATCAAAATCTTTATTTAATATCTGACAAAAATCACAGAATGTTGTGTTATGGCGCCGACCGCCTCAGTTACTACCTATCATTAAATTTATGTCTAATTTATACACATTTACGTAGGTCTAATATGCCGTTTAACATGCCATTTCTAATCGAATATATAGCAAGATATTCGACAGTACATAATTATCAATAAATAATCATCGATACCATAAAAATATGTCCAACAGACCACTATTTTAATTAGGCGCGGGCGCCAACTATATCGCAAAATTCAACTACATATATTTACTAACAGAACGCCCATAACAATGTAGGAACTATCGGAATGTGGACTAATCGGACCACATTCTTGAATACAAATGCGGAATATACTTGCAAGGACATTAGATCGAATTTCTCGAGATTCGTTCATAGTATATAAATTGTATAGATACTCGTTTAATGCAATGTACATACTTGAACATTATGGCTCAGGGCAATCGTGGTGGAATTTGAAGTAAAGCGTGCGCGTCGTGAGGCGGCATTTCACGGCGGTATCTCATGGGGCATCGACGCTGTGTTCCACAAACCTCCGGTCACGAGCATACGCCACTATTGAGACCATAATTGTTGCCTGCAGCTGCCTCGCCCCGGGCGTCAGTGAGGTCGTGGACCTAGTCTCAGCTCTACCTACACAAAGAATTATTCTTAATCAATATTTATCACGAATTTTATCCACTTATACAATTTCACCTTTAGTGATAAATGCCAAGACAAACAGAATCACGCGCTGTTTGACTTTTCGCTCAGACCATAATAAGCTGTTAAGTACTACTATAATGAGTGCGGTTAGCCGTGTAATCCTCCACGCTGACTACCCCAATTTTATTTCGTATAATGGGCCCAACCCCTTTATAATCTCTAGTATTTTTCAATGATTGTCGATTATTTGTTCTTTTGGTATTATACATATAATGGAAGAGCCCCCACGTCCTCGATCTTAGCCTACTATGTCAATATCACTTAGTCACCCAATTACTGACCCGCATGTTGTCTTTCGAAACCAATTAAGAACCCTTAGAAGCTGGCATGTTGTACATAATCAATAGATTGATATCGGTACCGTGTTATTATGAACTAATTTACTTTCTAATAATATTTCTTAAACCATGTAGAGAGTAGGTAAATATGGTATTTCTTTGATGAGTTAAAGAAAGTCAAGATGGCAATATAGTAAATAAATTGATCCTTCCATAATAGTGCAACCAGACGCCTACGCGGCGCGCGGCGACGTTCTCATCCGACAGGCGACACTAACGAGCCGCCAGGTGTTCGCGCCCACGCTTGCCCGCTCCTCTGAATATCTTTGTCTCAGAGTCCCTCAAGCATAAATCGCGCACGTGAAAGTTTTACGAGCACCTTTACGCTTCTCCGAACTAATAAACAGAACAGGCTGCGGTGAGAAGACAATGCAGCGCTGCGCTGCCGCCACACCGCGAAATGTCTTGACGACAAACCTCAGCACACGTGCATCGATTTCGCCGATAGCTTCGATTCCATCGACAACGTATCGATCGAGGGCATTGTGCGGGTAACGGTCGTTCGCAGCTGCGTATGAGCACACGTGATGGCGCCGGTGGCCGGATAGCTAAATAAATGCGATGTACACATACCTATTCATTATCCAGTCGACAATGCTCCTCTCATAAAGGGATTTCACGTGTGCGCTCTCGCAAAGTCCCGATCCGTTCGGGACATGTGTGCTCTCCCTATGGTATGTGTCCGTAAATAGGGTGTGGCCACGTGCGCCAGTTCAGCTGTGTCGCGGATGTGTATGGACGGGAAGCGGTAATCTAACACTTACTGATACTGAGAATGCTATACTGAAACTGCAACTGAAGTGCTCGCTGTAAACAATTCGTGCATAATAATTATACAACTCGTTTCATATTTTCCTGGCCATTTGATCAAACAATCATTCGAGTTAGGTTCACGCCTGCACTCAAATTAGGGTAGTGAAACAAGCGGTCTATTGTCCGGGCACTAATGAATTAAAACATTGTTGAAACACAGCACATATGCGGTGACAGATGGCCGAACGCGGACGGGATGCGCATGTGCTCACTCGATACACTATTAGTCGCAATCACTTTAATATGACCTGCGGAATTAACGGGGAATATCTTTACCGGTCATTCTAGCATTCCATGTGACATTTGTACGTTAATTTACTGAACGTACTGTTTAAATCATTACGTATTCAATTAGCTCGTACCGTTTCCATATCGTCAAATTGTAGGAAAACATGTGCGCGCGCATCTGTGCAACGATTGGTAGCTGCACCCTCGCTAAATGATTACATGGACTCACCTTCTGTTCCCGTATAGAACCCTATATTGGTACTCCCATTTCTTTAGGTATTACTGATATTATTGGCCGTATACTCATGTATTTATTTTTTTGTTTCAGACACCTGAAAAACAGAACCAACCAGATAGGCCGTCATGCTAAGTGATGTGCTTAATTTTAAGGGACAATGTAATTTATGATAATTATAAGATACCTCGAATCGTGGCCGTTGCCGTGATGGGAGGCGAGGCAGGAGGTGCTGAGAAAAAAGAAGGAAGACGATGCCTCCAGCAGCAGTTCCAGTGAAAATCATCTCGCGATGATGTCCTAAGCACGATCTCGTTATGTACGATCAACAAATTATTTTAATTTAATCGTTTCGTGGCATTACGGTGAAGACTTCAATATTGCAATGCAATTAACCGTTCTCGTTGAGTCGATGGACTGTTTTGTTATAATACGTTTTATGTAAAAAGCTTTATTAGTTATTAGTCAGATGAATGTAAATTTTCAATGTTTGTACATAGGTATGTTGAGCAGTATGTTAATGGAATACCTAAAAACATCCTATACATTTTGGTCTCTTAAAATTTTTGTATGTATTTATAAATTGTACAGTTTTGTGTAGCACATTACGTACAAAAATTCATGGCTCTTTTAATTAAATTTCTTTTTATTGAATTCAGTCCTAGATTCTTAGTTTTAAAACGATGCTTCCATTTATATCAAAGAAGTAAATCAATTTTAAGTTGGTTTACGTATATAATTTTATTACTTTAAGTTATTATTCTTGAGTGTGATTTTGCATGGCAATTTTTGCTATTATTATATGGAAATGTATTAATAGAGTGCGAATGCAAACTTTTCTTATTAATTTATTGGTTGCGTTTGCACACTACTATATAATGTAAATATTGTATGTAATTGAGAAAAGATATAAAACATAGCGAAAAGTGTATCAAATTGAGACCTATTACGATTTTATTTTGAATAAGGTGGAAATGCTTTAATTATCTTAATTCTTATTACTTACGGTGTATTATAATTTTAAATAGACTGTTATAGTTTTAGTTATTGAGGGATGCGTTGGTAGAGGTCAAACAAATTGTGTTGTTAGTAGTATATATGTGCCGACCGGCACACTGTTACTAAAAACAATATTATTAATATATAACATGGTTTACACCTCAGGCGACCAATGGGCTATCCATATAGACGCAATTGTACCTATATTAACAACTAAGTCGTAAGAAATTGTTTTAATGATACATACTTAATAGAAATACGACCTATAACAAGCGTAATTTATGGATATCCCAAAACTTAGCACTTTGCGTCACAAATTGTAAACTGTATTTCACAATGTTTTCGTCCATGTTTCCTTTTTTTATTTAGTTATAAATTTCGCACTGACTTGTCTTGATAAGTTATCCGATAAATCAAACAAACAGAAAATAAAAAATATTATGACTATACTATATTTTTTTATTCAATAACCATATAAACCCTACTGATGACTGCTTTATAATAATATACTCCAATAACTCAGACGATCATTTGATTCCTATATATACTAAGTTTAATTACAAAGATAAAGATTCGAAAGTAAACTCTGAAACCACTGCCCCATTTTGAGAAATTCTTTCACTGTTTGTAAAATACTTAGATATTGACATTATCCCAGGATAAGCTACATGTATAAAACGATAATATCAAAAAGCCTACTACTACCCACAAAGAGCACCCGGGTAAGCTCAGAAGCAAGGCTTACGAGTGTGCGAACGTATGAGTATGCGAAAATCAAACAACAATGGCGAAAATTTGTGACGGAATCGGTTAGTATTCCCAAATTAAAAAGAAATATTTTAAATCATACAAATAGAAAAATATTTATTGAAAACTTTGATTATTTCAAAATATGCAAAAAAAATATAATTTCTTGTCGAATATTATTACATATCCATTTATTATTATGGATTTCTTTTTCTATTTGTAAAACATACTACTTAATCAATTAAAAAATAGTAACAACAAGATTATTAAAATCGATTAATCTGCTGTTCTAACGTATCACTTCGTATATTTGTAAACAGCATTCATTACATTCGAAAAAAAGACTATCCCTAATAATTTTAATTTCAAGCTTCATTCAACAACATAAATAAGATATGTGATTTTATGCGAAGAAAATTATAATAGGCATCAAGCGTAGAGTTTTTTTTAAAAACAGGTGCTAAAACTATGTATTAAAATAATTTATATATAGGTAGATACTTCTAATTGCTCAATTTTTAGAGTTCGTAATTGTAAATATAGCCGTACAAGAACACCTCTTTATATATTTTTTTTATTAATATTAAATAACAAAATATGTTTTGTCTTACTCTCATTCTGTAATTGAATATATGACATAAAATATTTATTTCCACGTGACTTCCCAAGTCACTAACGTATTCACCTTTTCCTAAAAATGCTTAGAAATCGACACGAGTCCATTGAGATCACGCGATTGCATCACGGCCAATTATCGCGACTACAATATTTGGTCAGCTGTGTGTATACTACATACTTCAACAACTAGTCTTCTGAATTAATAGGCACTCTACGCTATTGTAAATACAGTCGAGAATCGTGTAAAGAGAACGAATGAGGTACAGTTACAGCATTTTACGTCCTATTGTATGGATGTTAGAAATTAAAATAAAGTGTAGATAGTTCGCTAAATTTTAAGCGTTTGTTCGCCAAATATTAACCCAATGCCGTCATAACGTCGAACAATACGACTAATTACTAACGCAGAGTAAACGAGTGAAAAACGGTAAAAGATAAATAAAAATACATGCGCGACCCTGCCAGGATTCGAACCTGGAATCTTCTGATCCGTAGTCAGACGCGTTATCCGTTGCGCCACAGGGCCCATAGAAGAATTTTATCAAATTTGTTATCTCATTCCCTGAAATTATCTGACAATTTTGTGAAAGAAGGTTTATGAAAATTCAATGCAGTTACATACCTATTTTCATGTAAAAGTTGAATTCAAAGTGAAATTTTTAAACGATACAATCTTTATCATTAGTGTAATGAATGATACATATAGTTACATATAGTTTATAAACACGAATATTGTTATGGCAATACTTTTTATCATGAAATCGTTGACGTTATAGTAAAGTACCCGAATGATTTTTTACAAATATACCTTCCTTTTTGTGAACTTGTTGTACTACCCAAATTTCTTAAATTAATTCCAAAACTATATTTACAATATCCATATTTTATTTGTGATCATGAATACATGGACATACTTCTTTCAACTATTGTCATAATTTTACAAACTATTTTTCTTTAAAAGGTTATCTCATTGGTAAGTTCATACCAGTCCACATAAATGAAACAAGTAGGTACATTTCTTTATCTACTAGCAGGCAAACATAAATTGATATATAACGAGGTGTATTAGTTAATCCGAGTAAAGAGTAGCCTATGTCTTTGCTATTACTATGGAATAGTATTATTACTTTCTGTATACACTCTATGATTTTTCCATGAGAGGTAACAATATTTGTTTAAATTGTTACCTCTCATGGAAAGAAAGTGATAAAGTCACTTTCACATTTACATATGCACTGAGATCTCTAACTTCACTTATGTACAAATGTGAAGTACATTGCTAGACAATGGTGTCACTAGTCTCCATTACGTGCAATACAACTACTACGACAACTCCTGTGATATGCGTTACTTAGAACAATTTTATTTGTTTGTAATGGATATTTACTAACGTTGGAGAATTAGTTGCAAATTTAAATAGGAACTCAAGAATTGATTCTTATATAATATGTCAGCCAAATCACGACATCACTTTTAGTGTCAAGAAGTCAGGTTAGTAAATCATTACACCAGGATCCTTCAATAGACAAATAAATGGATTATTATAATATTAGTCGGCATTTATGGATTAGTGAGGATTATTATAATCAACAAATTAGATTTGATTCACAATTTACGTAAATTTATAATATTCAACTCTCTCAATGCATTCCTGACAGCACATACATCAACTTTACAATTATCTTTATAGGTGAGTACCATGACATCTCACATACAATAATGCGATAACTTATCGTGTGATAACACCGCAAGTGCACCTGCACCGAAAGTATGGATTCAATTCCTAAACACGTGGCCGACACTTGGAGTAATCACCTCATCATTCGTCTCGCTACTAAACCTGTATTTGTAGTGAAAAGGCATTACATTGCAAAAATCTCTAATGTTAGTAGTACATATTTCTATTATTTTTTAAATTAATTGTATTTCAAAGAATTATAATATTTTTCTCCTATACTCGTATCTTAAACGGAATATGGACATTCGGAACAGCGGTTTAAGTGTAGGTTTAATAATTCAATATAAATGTTGTCCGATGAATTAAGAATGAATTTAATCTAAATGTAAGATATATATATCGCTACTTCAAATCTGACCTATTTTCTATTAATTCTTTGTTGGAGACAACACCGATAACATGTTCAGCGATTTCTTTTATACCAATATACTCACTACGAAAAAGTAGAATATTCAAGTACATAGGTACTAAAATTAGTCACCAGAGATGTACATAGGTAGTTAGATAAATATCGGTTTATATCTATATACAAAAAAATATAATGATAAGCCAGTTATTGTCAAATAACAAAACATGGAAAATTATAGTAATCAACAGTTCTATAATTGAAAACAATCAAGCAATCTAATAGATACTTATAAAAAAACTACAATTTTACATTGAAGCAATATTTTTTTTAACAAGAATGGTTTAATAGTTGGCTGTCCTCCATAAACAGAACCAAAGATGTCACAGCACTAAGGTGGTAAGCCACCTTTCTATGGAATTTCATTACCATAGCTGACCCTTCAAACTCAAAAACAATTGGAATTGTAAAGCAAACAATTTGCTGGCAACAGAAGTCGGCGAGACAGAGGTGTCCACGCAGACGGCTTCATACAAATTCTTAATCCACAATAATAAAATGGAATTGTCTGCTTCCTTATTTTTATCGGGTAATCAACCATAATCCATCCAAGTTGTTAGATTATAACGGTGCTGTAAACAGGTGGGTCTAGCAGGTGTTTGCACTGGCGTGAGGACGCCGGCACTGATAAGCTGATAACGGGTGCTTGAGTACCGACTAATACCGTAGAATACATAATTGTCTACCACTTCTACTTCAAACTGTATATTGTGTATGAGCCGCTATTTAGAAGTATAATTTAAAATCAACTTATTGCTGCCTTTTTTATTTAACTGGAATGACAAACGGACTGACTTTTCAGACCGAAACACATTTTCTAAGCATAATGTTGACATACAACTAAATCAGTGATATCTACTATCATTTTTACAGAAATCTATCATCTTACCAATATAAACACCAAAGTTCGTGTGTGTCGATGGATAGATGCATGAATGTTTGTACTCTCACGCAAAAACTACTGAACAGATTGTGATGAAACTTTACATTTATGTAGTTTAAATATCGAAATAACACATAGGGTATAAATTAAAAAGATATTATGTAATTTGGGCGAAATATAATGATAAATGTCAAGTAAGTATAATGCATACGAAGGTGCACGGGTTTTATGATTTACAGGTAGTTGTAAATCATAATTAAATGGCAATGCATTAGCTATGACAGTCTAATAAACTACTAACACTTCATCAAATATGTATAGAAACACAAATAGAAAGAATCACCATCATTACAAAAACCCGCGAAAAATTTGTGTCCATAATGATATTAATTTATCGTAGTAAATGTGATATTGTAGTTCAGACCATTTTCCAGTATCTCTCACGTTTTCATGGCTCCCGAATCACACAAAATCACAACTTACGGATTAAAGTTATCACCGTTTGAAAATATTATGCAAAGGAAGTACCTATGAGAAAGTTAAATATGATAAGAGTGACGCAAATAAAATGACTCAATTCTATAATCTATAAGTAAATTTAATCGTAACGATAAAATGAGCAGGTATCATGACTTGGTCACATTAATAACATATTTGTGTTTTTATATTTTGAGTCTATCGATTTTTACGCATCCTGATCGAATGCGCCCGGTGCACTTAGAACAGACAGCTGTGTTAGTACCGTAGATCGAACAGTTATCACGAAATTGTCGTCTTGATAAGCTCTATCTGAAGTACTAGTATTTTACACTGTATTACTAGTATTACGAGTATTTACTCTGTAAAAATTGCAATAAATTCAAGGCATGGCCTTTTAATAGTCATTATAAATTTTAAAGGTTACTTAACCCAAATACTTTGTAAATATTATTCATTATTCAGATTTTTTTAAAAGTCAAATTATCCATAGACCACACCCGTTAAGTACTAATATAATAATAGTGAAAATAACGAAGACTGTTGGGTTGGCTGTTTCTATCGTGTTTTAAATGTCGGA